GGGGGGGGGGGGGGGGAGGGGGTCACATCTTAGGCATTTAGGCGCGGAGGCGGGGGGTGTACCCTAGTAAACGCATCCGTTAGACATAGACCTCGCATCACTACAATGCCGGGACAGAGTGGCATCGAAGAGGGGAAGGGGGGGGGTACTCATGCAAACGCATGCCGTAGTCGTTAGACCATATGTCCTCGCATCCCTACGATGCCGGGACGGAGCGATTCGGCGGTGTTTCGCCGGCCGGCCCCGGCAACGTTCCACAAGGACGAACCAGAAGCTGGTCATCATCCTTGCGTTCGCCGTGCCAAAACAGATAAACCGTGGGTTGATTGGGCATCCATCCAAACCAAACGTTTCACATGGGGGAGGGGGTCACAACTGGGGTGGCCGGGGGAGGGGGGGGGGGGTGTGTGTACGGGACGTTGGTCTGCTCCTGTCGAGGTGAAAATGGTGATTTTTTTCTCTTCGACCAAATATCACCACACACTCACAGCTACTCGACGCCAAGTTTCTTTTCCAATCTGTGTGACCACGGATTGGAGCTCTCACCCGGAAGCAAACGTTGTGAGCGCTAATACGGAAAAAAAAAATCTTACCTGAGGGGCACCGTAAAATTAACAAGCTCGTCGGTGGAGACCTTGGCGAAGTCGACCAAATGCCTGCCCCGGTCGTGCGAGATGATGCTCGTGGGGTAGAAGTAGCCGACTACCGGCTGTCCGAAGTGTTCCGCCAGGCCTTTCTGGCGCAAGCTGGGCACAATAAGAAACAGGACAGTCATGGTACGGGTACACAGGCGTGCTAAAAGAAGGGATCGCCTCTCGACAAACATTGGGGAGACGTGACCTCTTTCTGGAGGTCTTCTCCAACAGGCCGGGAGTCATGATTTTTTTTCTTCGTTTCATTTCTATCAGATGGATCCCTGTGGGTTCATTCGTGCAGAGGTTTACCGGTACCCGGAAATGGTGATATATGTATCACCCGCGAATGCCCGTTTCTGGTCACCGCTTCTAAAATTTCTGTGTCACCAAACCGCACCATTGCGTAACCCCCCCCCCTCCCGCAATCTAGACTTCAGTGGGTTGGCGCTGTTGGCAAAGCGCTGTAAAACACGCCACCCCAAATATAGCCCCCAGAGTATGCGCTACCAAAGACGCGTGACGCATGGATG